ATATATATATATATATATTTGCAAAAATATAACTCCGTGTTATACCCTTAATTATACAATTTACAAACATTTTACTTCAATTCAATTGTAGACAAATGCAAATTTTGTACAAATATTGCAAAGAAAAAGGCCAACGAATTATACAATTGTGAATTATACAATTGCAGTGAAATACAATTTTCTCTAGATTTATACAACAGAAGTGTGTATATTGTGTTTCTATTTTTGTATAAAGCGAGAGAAAAACATATATCTTCTTGCTATACACTTATAATTATGCAATATATATACATTTTAATTCGATTCAATTGTATGCAAAGTAAATTTATAAAAATATTGCAGCGAAATAGGCAGCGAATTATACAATTGTGCATTATACAATTGCAGTGAAATAGGATAGCGAATTATACAATTGCAGCGAAATAGGCCAGCGAATTATACAATTTAGGCCAGCGAATTATACAATTGTATATGTATAGCGAATTATAGTTTTATATTTGCTATGGAGTGCAATTATGCAAACTTTGCTATAGCATACAAATATGAATTTTTTGTTTGCTATATGTGAAAGTTGTCCTAGAAATTATTAGGGCTAACTAGTTACCTGAATGGGCCTTAAAGCGCCTCTTATGGGTGGGCCAAAATTTTCTACAAATATAAATTAGGGAATTTTATCAAAACAACAATATGTTAGTTTTTTTGGTGACACAGTAACAATATTTCAATATTTAGTAATACTAGCATGTTTTAATTAGTTTAGATTAGAAATACCGTATTTTTTCTTTTAATATGATATGTATATTATTAAAAAAAAATTATAGAAAAAATGGATATTAAAACATAAAAAAGGTAAGTAGTATTAATAATCCTTCAGTTACTTTTTAAAAGCTGTACTTTTGGCATATATTAAGTTGAACGTTTTTTTTCTTCTTCCCTGTTCTTCATATTTAAAAAAGAATACAAACAAATTTGTCTCCTCTATTATTCAATTGATACAGAAGCTTTATTATGCAATTCAAATTCTGCAAATATAATCGAATACGGAAATTTTTTGAAAGCGGAAATTTTTGAATACCACAACAACAATTTATTCCTTTCGGTTTTATTCATACTTTGGAGATCAGGTATTTTTTTAAATTTTTTAATATGAATACGTTAAATGTTTGTATGATTTGAATTTTTTTTGGAAGCTCATCGTATGTTCCATTTATATCAATAGAAAATATCTGAACAAGATAAGTAACAATAATATAATTATATCTGATTATATGATGTGTACGGCTGGATATGTGTTTGATTCTGTTTAGACCCATATTAGTTATTGTTTTTTATTTCTTGTTTTTAACAATATGAAATTCTATATGTATTAATTTTGAAACGGTTGTTACTGTGTGATAAAAGTTGTGAATTTGAGTTCAATCTTTATCGATTTTGGTACTCTTTGAAACGTACACTTTTTTGAATGTAGATTGGACACTTTTTTTTTATTTTGGAATACTATTGAAATGTGATCATCACTTATATATTTGTTATTGTAGCCATGGGAAGCATTAGTTTATTGGTCATGCATTCTGGGAGGTGGAACCATGAAAATTGCTACGTTGATTACAGTACGGAAGCAATTGTGCTAAAAGAGCATGCGACATTTAGAGAACTAATGGATCTTGTTTCAAAGCAAATTTGTGTTGACTTGAGCTTCAACATTGTGAAACTTAAATATAAGATAGAGGGTAGTACTGCACCTCTGGAAATACACAACGACATGGGCGTGAGAGTGTATATGTCGTTGAAAAAAGATAAGAATTATCAAAGTATCCTATATGTGTATCCGTATTTGTGAATGACTGTCAATTAGCTGATAGAAATATGTTTGAAGATGGATTCGAAATGTGTAGGCCTGATGGAATAGATATAGTTGATACAGAATCATTAGTGCTTAGTGTGCCGAACAATATCGATAACATGAATTGCGACATTATTACAAACGCCAAACATAAGGTAGTGTTGGAAGATCAAGTTTATAAGGACAAGGGAACTTTAAAGGCTGTGATGACGCAATACGCTATTGATCATAGATTCCAATGGAAAACGGACAGATCGAGTCAAACATGGTATGTGCATTTGGGTTGGATTCTCTTATAATTTTTTTTCATTATGTTTTTTGACATTATACCAAATATTTATTTGTATTTTACCTAATTCTAATATGGTGTTATTCAAACAGTTATACACTTGTTTGTGTCTCTGATAATTGTGGGTGGGTGTTGAAGTCGTCAAGTATCAATAAATCTGGAATGTTCAGAATTAGAAAATTCGTAGATGATCTCACGTGTCCATTGAAACATAAGGTTTATGAACAACGTCAAGCAACAAGCAATCTTATTGGAGGTATTATACAACCCAAGTTAGTTGATCATAAAAGGAAGTTGACGCCAAAGGATATACAACAAGATGTCATCTTAGCTCTTGGAGTAAATGTATCATACTCAGTGGCGTGGAAGGCTAAAGAAAAGGCTGTAATTTCTTTAAGGGGTACCCCATCTGGTTCTTATGGTAAACTTTCGAGCTACTTATACGTATTGGACGCTACCTACCTTGGATCTCATATAAGGATGAAGAAAACCGATGAAAATCAATTTCTTTATCTTTTTATTTCTCACTTCCCGTTCATAAAAGGTTTTGAGTGTTGTAAACCAATTGTCGTAGTTGATGGCAGCCACCTCAGGGGGACTTACAATGGAGTATTTGTTTCTGCAAGTACTGTTGATGGAGCAGGTATTAGAATGATAATATATACACTTTGTTTTGTTGATTAATATATTTATTCTATATGAAATAAAAACTTTATTAAATGTTTTGTGTGTAGGAAATATATTGCCGCTAGCATATGGAATTATTGATTCAGAAAATGATGCATCCTGGACTTAATTTTTTGAACAGTTTAGAGAAGCGCATGGCGTTAAATATAACATGTGCGTTGTGTCTGATCGAAACGAAAGTATTATAAGGCAGTTTTGAGGGTATTTGATGGAGTTCCTCATTATGCCTGTATTTGGCATTTGTGGGGAAAATGTGAAAACACTATTTAAAAAGTCGCACAATAGTCTGTCGGAAGTTTTTTATGGGATGTCAAAGGCATACAAACAATTTGAATTCGATGAACTGATGGAAAAGGTTGAACAAGTTGATGTTCGTGTAAAAAATTACTTGGAATCAGCAGGTTATGAAAAATGGGCTAGGGTATATGCAACAGTTGATCGAGGAATGGTTATGACATCAAACATAGTTGAGTGCATAAATGTTTGTCTATTTGAAGCAAGGGAATTACCGGTATACGATTTTCTTGAGGAAGTAAGACAGATGTTTGCAAGATGGAATTTGAAAAATCATACGTTTACTTCACATACATTCACCACACTTTGTGGTAGACCACAAGAGATGCTTGTTGCTAATGAAGAAGCATCATTACGTACGAAGGTATGTTGTTACGATTTATATGTTCACCAAAATTATATGACATAAGTGTTTATTTATTTTTGTAGGTTGCGCCATCAAATAACTATGTGTTTAGTGTTCATCACGAAGGTAGAACCTACATTGTTTGTTTGGAAAATAAAACTTGTACTTGCAAGAGGTTTCAAATAGATGAAATACCATGTTCGCACGCTTGGGCTGTTTTAAAGAAGAAACATTTTGATGTTGGGCCATATTGTTCCGACGTGTACAACCCAGTTAACTTGTTAAAAACATATAGCATTCCAATTCGTCCATTACCTGATCAAAACGAGTGGAATGTACATGGGTATATTAAGGACCAGATAGTGCAGCCTCCAAATCACAAAAAGCTCCATAGAAGGCCATCCAAAAAGTATCGTGACAAGACGTATAGCGAGCTATATGGTAAGAAGAGAAAGAATTCTTGCAGTACGTGTGAGTTTAAAGGGAACAATAGGCGTTCATGTAGGAATGGACCACGTATTGTATAGTTAATGATGTTTCATTTTTTGTATATTTTTAGAGTTAGGTTTCTTCCAGACTTCTAATGCCTTCTGGGTAATAAAATAACATGGAATTCTTTGTTCATGGTTGTATCTTGAAATGTATTCGCTCTATGTCTTCTCTCGAATAATATTACTTGTATTCGAAACCTGATTGTATCTACGTTTTAATACCAATTGTTACATCCATTTGAATGCATACAATTGTTGGATTCTTCTATTTTGAATTCGGCAAATATTTTTTTTGTATATACATTTTCTTTCGAGAAGTGTTCATTCATATCCATGTTTTCAATATATATTATATTTGTCCTATCTAAATTTTATGAGTGAACTTGTATGTGTCACATACACAAACTTTGCATTTTCTTGTATTCCAGTTGAATTGTATTTATAATATAATATGAATTATATTTTGTAACATTTTAATGAATACAAATTTTTTTCTTCGTTTTCTATTGAAATGTATTCGTATCCCTGGTATTAATATCTTTTGAGAAAGTGTTAATATTTATGTTTTTAATCTATATTGTATTTGCTCTATCTAGAATGTATGAGTAAAATTGTATGAGTTAGAAACAAAATCATTGCAGTTACTTGTATTCAAGTTAAATTGTATTTATAATTTAATATAAATTATTTTTGTAACATTTTAATGCATACAATTTTATTTTTTTGGTATTCGTTTTCTCTCTAAAAGTATTCATATTCGCTATACGTATTTTATCTTTTTTATGTTGTTAGTATTATTAATTGTATTTATAATTTAATAATTTAATATCAAGTCTTACATCCATTTGAAACATATGAATGCATACAGTTTGTTAGATTATTGTAATTGTTTTGGTATACCTTTTATAACGAAATGTATTCGTATCCATGATTTTAATCTACATTATATTTGTTATATATATATTGTATGTTGGTAGAATCATATGTATGTTGGTAGAATCATATGTATTGCATTTAAACATCAAAAATGAGTTTTGTGTACCCCACATGCAATACTTAAGCTTGAACACTTTAATATTAACCCAAAACCTTTGAAACCATAACTTCAAGATTTTATACATCAATAAACACAAAAGAATTTAACCCTTTAAAATCATTTCATAGAATACAAAAACTAATGTCTAATTACACATCAAAAAATGGACAACAACTAATCTATTTGAATTGTATCAATCTCCTCCATTGCTACATTGAATCTTCTATATCGTGGAGGTGCTTCATTGTCACATATTGCTCCGGCATCATTCTTTTGTTGGCCATAATTCCAAAGAAGTGTAGCGTATCTTGACCGTAAACACGATGCATCCAAAATATTCGCTGGAATACCTTGGCCGTATGATAGGTATTCAGCAAAAGCTAGCATATAAATACCACAATCCCTATAATATAAGAAATTAAAAGTTAGTACATAATATAATATTGATAATTTGATGATAGTAAAATCAAAAGAAACACAAACTTACAGAGACCCATGCGACTGTTGAGGAACATTATCTATGAATACTACATTAAAGAACTCGTTCTCTTGTTGAGCTTGCGATACATCAATTCCTTTATTGTTGTAATAGTCATTGTCTGATAACTTCAAAGGGATCAACTGAGACAGTTTAACTATCTCTGCCTTGATAGCTGCATCGTGACCTGCTGCCCAATACACTTATCATTCAATGATATCACAGCCAACACCCAATGAAATTTCTCCTTAACGTGGACAGGAACAAAAACATAATCAATCTTATGCCAAGGTGTAGCAGCATGCATTTTGTACCCTCTAATGTATTCACCAATGACATGCTCTTCATCGGCACAACCAAAATCGCTATCTAAATCCAAATATTTTTCCCAAATAGCAGAGATCTTTGGACTAAATACACAATCTACAATTGTGTATTTATAGCTGCCTCCAACATCATATTTGGCATTTTTCCGTAGATAATATAAAATCACATCAACATGCTGACAAATTAAAAGACAAATGTATAAATACTATAACTACTAATCAATCATTGTTTTTAAATATAAATACTAAACAACTCTTACCGAATTGTTCAATAACTGTCCTTTGAAATACAGATTATAGAACCAATTCTTATTGTCTACTATGAGAACGCCAAGCTTAATAGCCACAGAAATTTCAGCTAGATTCTTCTTGTAATGGTCTTGATCATGCTTCCTAAAAACAGAATAAAAATAGAAATAGTATACCATTCATTAAAAAAATAAAGTAATTACTATCAACGTTTAAATACAAAAAAAAACAAGAAAACCTATATATAAGCTGCACCTACCAAATAACTGTTGTTGAAATACAAACAAACATTTAACCGGATACAAAAATTTAAACAGTTATGTTGTAAAAATATCTTGTAATTATTCACCAATGACTTACTTTCTGTCATGCTTTGTAAGTAAGCCATCTCGAATCCACGAACGAAACGCATCCCACAACATTATATCATAATCGCCAGATATCAAATCAAATATAAAAGGGTGTTTCAATTCAAAAATGTGGGGCTGACTTGATGAACTACCTGAAATGGTTCAAAAAACTATAAATTAAATACACACTAACAGTAGCAATAAAAAAATGATTACATTAACAAAAGTATTAAAATAATGGAATACTGTACCAGCAGATGATCCAAAATTGGTCAGATACGGAGATGTATTATAAGGACCTGGACGTCTATTCCTACGCGTAGGTAATGGCGTCTGTTCGTTATTGCTGTAGGTTGATCTATCATCAAATTTTCACCGTTCGTACCCAATTGGACATCGATAGTGGCCTGATCTGCCTTTGTTGTAATGCATCCTGCAATTGTTGTTGGCAGCTGTTCGGTGTGTCCTTTTATCACAGTTGAATATGGTGCGATGCTACTCTTTATAGAATTGAGACTAGGCATGAATTGATCGTCCAATTCAAACTGTGAATCGATTGTCACTTTCATGTGATCCAAAATCCGGATAGGGACTAGACATGGCATTTGTTCAACATCATCCTCATGTGAATTTTCAGATACTCCAAGCACTTTTTGTGGGGGTATATCAAATACAAAACTTGGTTGATTTACCTATTAATTTCGTAAAAATAACAACACCTTTAAAGTAATGACTCAAATAATGGTATAACAAATGTACTTATAAAATTAAATAACATACTCTAGGAATTGTAGGTCTTGGAGCACTTAATTCATAATCCACGTCAATTAGATTTCGAACAGGGGTGTTGATATAAAAAACCTTATAAAATGAAATTGTTGATATGATAACGAACATTTATTGAGACTGGAATTTAAGGCAAATTTGTATATTATAATCACACGTTAGGATGTACGACAAAAAAACATAAAACTTGTCTAAAACCTGACTTACCTCATGATCATCGGATTTGGGATATATTCCATCTGGATTGTTGATTGCCTTTAAAAAAATAAAAATAACAAGAAACATGAAAAAAATTTAATGGATACAAATAATGAAAAGTCATTTAAAATTGTAAATGATAACAGTTATAATACATGTAATCATAAAACAAGTTAACATTGATTGATACAGTTTGATCATAATCATATAAATGTATAATTATATAAAATATGGGAGGCTTATTAATGATATTTATTACACAAGTACTGAGTTTAAAAATGATACACAAAATCTTGACTTACATGGGGCACAACATTTGTTGATTTACTGTCATTTGAAGCCTTGAGTGTCTTGTAAAAATATAAAAATTCAATACACATGTAAACAAATATTAAAAGTTACAACTTCATAAAAAAGTGAATAAATTCAAAATTTTCGTAAAAAATACCAAAATAGGGATCGTATATACAGCCTAAATTAATAAAAAAAAATACGAGTACCTCTGAATTTCCAGATTCCAATTTGTCACACTGAGCTACAAGAACTTGATTTGATGGAGATTCTTTATTGGAAGTGTATGGTGGTGTATACCCATCTTCATCATTTGAATTTGGAGGGACAATATGATCATCAGAATGCTCGGCCTGTGTTATATTACAACGTAAATCATTAACAAAAATGTAAAATTTAAATACGTTACATCATTTTATTTTTTATAACAAACCACCTGCTCATCTCGTATTGAATTGATGGCTGCCATAACAGTTTTGAAGTTGTCGTTGATCAAATTGAGAATTTCAACAAACTCTTGTTTAACCTAAAAATATGAAATAATGATGTACGTTATTAAAAATTTATAATTCTAATAAGTGTATAACTATGAAGGATGTACTATATGGTAAATACTTCTTTTCTGAAATCTGACAGCTCTTTCACCCAGCCTTCCACTTCAGATCCGCTTGTTCTCTAAAATATCATATTCACTCAAAAGTTGTATTTTTGTTAGCTATGCATGTAGACATTCAGTTTGTTTTAAAATAACCTTAAGTTTCTTTAGTACCTTTTTTGATGCAACATTCTTTTTCATCGGCTGTTTAACAGCAATTCGAGGTTCCAAATTTTTTGCAACCTGTTTGGATCCACCAGTCACCACTTCTTTGTCCTTTTTCTAACAGGCAACGTTGAGGAACCAACATTTCCTTTTCTTTTGACCTTTACTACTTGTGGAGGAGCTACTTGAAAATCATCTTCAGAATCTTTATCGTCACAGCTTCCCTCTCGTGGATCATCATTTGTATCAATTATTTCATCATCTAGATCATCATCTGATGAATCTGAATACTGAGGTGGAGCTTGATTTTCGATACCCTCCGGTGGCAGTTGCAATACTGCAAGTTCCCTTTGATTTGGTGTAATGTTCCTGCATTTAATCTGAATTCCAAACATTTTGTTACTATTATAAATAAAACCAATAAGAAAACATACAACTTGGTGATTATTAAATATATGCCAAGTTAAGTACCTAGTTATTAACATCACTAAATATGGTGTTCATAAGTTTCTTGTATCTACTACTCTCATTGGTCGTCTGCCAGTTGAGCAACCTCGGAATATGGTCATCAACCTTTTGAGCGACCTGGAAATCAATACTCGAACTGCTTTCAAACAACCATACTTGGGATAAAATAGGCATTCCCTCGATTCTGTAAAATTGTTTTTCACCATTCAACCTCTATCTCAGGCTCTTCAACAGCAAATAGAAAGTTTTTTCCCCCATGGAAACTGATTGTACCTTCCACTTTTAACAAGATCAAAATATAATCTAGGAACTTTTTTGGTAGCTCTTTCACCGGAAAAAATCACTGTCTGGATGAAGTATAAAATTGCAAACTTCAGGCCATCCTGATAGTTCTCCCCCCACACTTTTCGATGAAAACTCCTCATTATATCAATTTTTCTGATCAACTTAACACCCTCAAAATATTTTTCCATGAAACTATTTGGTTCTGACTGATCAAAGATGAAATCAGTTTCTTCGTTGACACAATTTAATCCACTGATCAAAGCAAATTCTCTCAAAGTAAAACGCAACGTAGATCCATTTACACGCATTACAAATGCTTGGCGAGAACTACAATTGAGTTCTAAAGCCATGCAACGTCTATGTATTTGTCCGCGAACACGACATTGATGCATTTGCAAATAATTACCAAAGCAGGTGCTTTCACAGAATACATTGTATACATGTCCATGTAAATACTTCATCAAGTCAGCTTTTATGTCATGATTAAAGAAACAATGAATATGGGGAGCTTTTTTTGGTTTATTTTTGACATAAAATTCATTTGCCTGCACATGTTCAACAATAAAATGAATACATACTTAAAAAATTACTGATATATAAATCTATTACTAGTTTAAAAAAATAGAATATGATAAACTACATTGTATACAAATAGTGAATGTTAATTCAGAATCATGAATATTGATGACATGAAAAATAAAATAAAATAAATAACAAAATACAACTAAATTGATACTATAATCCTATCAACATTTGAATACATAAAGATGCTGAAGAGAACACAACTACATTATTCAACAATCTAATATATGTATACAACAAATAATATAGTATTGAATTAATTAATTAATCAATTTCTGCTGTAACAATAATATAGTATTAAGGTGATTAATTATTGTACTGTTATCACTATTTCTCAACTCATCTTCGTATAATAACACATTTGGTCCTTCAATTATTATATTACTAATAAATTTACTTATTAGTAGTATTCAATAACATATAATCTTTCATTAATTAAAAAATACTATATTTTTTGCCTTTATATATTTTATATATAAGAAATACTTTTAACTATTTTATTGTTGATTGTGGGTAATAATATTTAAGCTGCATATTATACCTGGATAATTAAGTTACTAAATGATTAATAATTATAATATATTTATTATATTTCAATTAATTGATAAATTAAATATACTTTATAAAATATTGAAATGTCTAAAACAAAAATTCATCAATAAAGAGTAATTGAGTCTAGAAACAGTTAATAGGTCGAAAAAACTTGCAAATTTTAAGTTAATTTTATTAGTAAAACACATTGCACTCTTGTTGACAAGAAATTACTAATATTGACTACTTCAAAATTGCCGTTTTGAAAATAAGCTAATTTAAGTTGAGATTAACTAATTTAAGTTGAGAGTTTCTTTTTTTACAAAGTCAAATTATGGGCAAAAATAATGGCTACTAGAATACAAAAATAACTATAGGGGCAAGTTCATGGTAACATATAAATCATATGATTTGTACTTGCTTTTGATATTTATCACATCACATTTAGGGATACAAATTTTTTTTATGTATTTAAAACTATAAGCTTCCAATCTGAAAGACATGAAATTTCAAACACAAAAACCAACTATAGACATAGCATAAAAATTAGTTTCGTTAATAATTTAATACCTCTTCATCGTCATGACGTAATACTTCATCACTTGGATATTTTTGTTGATCAACAGTGGTTTTATAGCACGACACTTTACTTTTTTTTGAAGAGCTATCAATTGCCATTTCATACTCTTGTGTCATTCTCGCCGCAAATCCTACATTTTAGATCAATCCTTGAGTAATGCACAAATCAAATGAGGGAAATTCCAGAAAATTTTGAATGTTGTTGTTTATACCTCTAGTAATTCTGACTGAATCAGCCATTGCATACAATACACTGATTTTTTTTTCAACAATTCAAAAATCTGAAGAAAAAAAAATCTTTTAACAACTGCGTATTGAACATCAAACAACAATGATTCTATATATATGAATTTTCATAATCTACCTAATCTTAAAAAATGAAAGAGAATCACAAAAAATATACAAAAAATACAACATCATAAATGTATGATGTATATTAAAACAAAAATCGCATAAATTGTCCATAAAGTCTTGATATACAAAATTAGAACTTTAACAAAAAAAAAAGCTAAAAAAATCGAAATCGAAATTTGAACTAACCTTGCCACCACGATTCTGCTTTAATAATGAACCTAGCTCAAAAATCTGCTTGAATCCTTGATAATCAATGGCTTTTCATAATCTACCTAATCTTAAAAATTGAAAAAAAAATCACAAAAAATAGACAAAAAATACAAAATCATAAATGTATGATGTATATTAAAACAAAAATCACATAAATTGTCCATAATTTCTTGATATACAAAATCAGAACTTGAACAAAAAACGCTCAAAAAATCGAAACCGAAATTTAAACTAACCTTGCCACCACGAAATCTGCTTTAATAATGAACCTAGCTCGAAAATCTGCTTGAATCCTTGATAACAATGACTTTGATGAAGAAATCTTGAAAATATGAACAAGGAACTTGAAAATTTGGCTGAAAATTTTGAATTGGTTTTAATTTTTACCTTTCTTGGAACTTTACGTGAAAAGTTAATTAATTTCTTTTTTTCCCCATTAAATGTTATTGGACCATGTTTTGGTCCAATCAATGAGTTTCCATTAATATATTAATTTAATAATACCAAAATACACTAAAATCTGAAATACACACATTTAATAAAAATACGTAAAATTAATATAACATATTGCTATTTTGTCATTTTCACTAAAAATTTTAAATTAATGTTATTTTGATTAATTATGTTCTTAAAGTTGTCTTAATTGCTAATTTTTCCTATAAATTATATAACTATAACCAAATTGATCCTCTTGAAAATCTTCAAGAAGATTTGTTTTAAAAAAGAAAAATTAGTAAACTACTTAAAATCTCTAACATAATTATTAAAAACATCTACACTTTAAAATAATTATTAAAAATGTCAATATATCTATATTTTAGCAAATAGAATGTATAATAATATAACTAATTTTCTTTCCTTTTATTTCTCAAATCAGGTCTCACATTGAACTAATTTTACTCCCCTATTCGTGAAAAAGAAGAAAAAAAAACTCTGATTACCCACTTTCCCTATTTTAAGATTTTTACCCAAAAATTCTTTCCATTCTCTCTTTTGAGTTTTTAACCATTTTTCTCTCCTTTTCTTGTCTAAGAAAATTATCTCTTCTATTTTCCTCCACTATGTCAAGAAATCACACAATTCCTTCAAAATATTTTCACCCATTGATAAAGATAAATATATCGTCACCAAGTATCATTTGAGATTTCCCTCTATTATGTAAAGACATTATTTATAAGTAAAATTCAAAAAATTGAATGTTGAAGATTTCAAAAAACCTGTTGAAGGCCTAGTTGAGGAAGAACAATTTCCTATTAGTTTGTTTTGTAATTTTAATTTTTTTTTTAGAATTTTGTTTCCTGTCTTAATTAATATTCAAATCAGTATATATGCTATTAATATTTGTATTCATTCAAAATCACATGTTGCATAGTTTATTTTTTTGTATTTGTTCCTAATTTGAATTCATCCCAAAGATATGTCTTTCACATTTGTATTTTATTTATAGGAAGAACAACTTCCTATTAGTTTTTTTATATATATAATTTATTCAGAATTTTGTATCATTTCTCAATTTGTATTTAAAACCTCTACTATTAATATTTTTATTCATTCAAAAACCATGTTGCATATGGTATATGCATATGGTATTTGTTCCTAGTTTTATTTATTCTAGGGTATGCCAACTAGTAGTGTTTTTTATTTAAGAATGATTGCAACAAATATTAATTTTTTTTAAGTTTTAAATTTCATTCTCTTTTTTTAATCATATTATTTGTATTTTATACACGGAAAAGGGCCTAAACCACCCTCGAAGTATTGAAAATGGTACAAAACTATCCTCCCTCCACCTATTGGATCCAAAATGTCCTTCTCATCCACCTATTGACTCCAAAATACCCTTCTCATCCACCTTTGAGTTCAAAATTGACCACTTATTTAACGGTTTTAAATTTAAACATTTAAATATTTTTTAAAAATATTTGACGCTCAACTATTGGTTATAATTTAATTTATTAATATTATAAACCAACCCACTATCCACTCATTGCTAATTAAACTCCACCCAATTAATAAATAAATTCTAATATCAAAATCTCCCTAACCATCTCTACCAAAACACGACAAAATTACAGATTCCTAAAAATAACATCCAAAATTATCCGAATCTGAATCGAAGCCCGAAGTAAATTTAGGTTGAGCTGCTTATTTAGGAGGACACTTTAGCTTGAATTCAAAATTAATGATTAAAGGTAAAGAAATAGTACCTCCCGAATTAATGCATGTATTTTTTCATACAATTTTATAAAAATTTATAATTTGTTTGAAATATTAAAACTTCAATATCTTATTTTTTAAAAAAAGTTATATGTTAATTAACAACATATAATTGAGACGAAGAAATAATTAAGACGAACATAGTCAGACATTTAAGTTTATCGGTAATTTTTATTTAGACACTTGAATAATAGTATGTTTTGATTGAGAACTTGAATGTGTGATAATGTACTTCTATAGACATTTTCACCTCTCTAGTTTTCATGTTGTTGTATTATTAATGAAGCGAGTTTATTAATTGGGTGGGGTTTAATTAGTAATGGGTGGGTAGTGGATTGATTTATAAATTATATTAATATGTTAAATTATAACAAATAGTTGATCACCATGTATTTTAAAAAATATTTAGATAATTTAAATTTAAAACCATTAAATAAGTGGTTAATTTGGAATCCAAAAAGTGGATAACAAGGGTATTTTGGAGTCAATAGGTGGGTAGGAAGGGTATTTTAGAGCGTATAGGTGGATAGAGGGTAGTTTTGTACCATTTCTAATACTTCAAAAGAATTTTAGGCCCTTTTCCATTTTATATATTATTATACAAAATACTACATAAAGACTAAAATGAATACAACCATAAATAAAATACACATTGGAATGAGACTTTTACCTTGACTTAATTGTTTGGTCAGCTAGAAACGAGGCTTTTTAGACCAGCCTAATTTGGCCCGCTAGCCTCGTAGGCACAACTGACAAGCCTTTGAGGCCAATACGCTGGATTTACATTTTAAAAGTATTTACAATATCTATTTCAAGTAGTGATTTATTTGTTAAGATTTCATCAATAAATATTTTTAAATATAAATGTAAAATCAAGTTTAACTTCTTTGTATATCTTTTACATTTTAGGGTCATTAGCCTACTAAATTTTCTTATCATCCTAAATTCATCACTTCATTATAACTATCATCTTTGACCTCTCTTATTTTTGTTTTTATGCCTAATTTTTCATTTCTCCTTTATTGTCTTGTTTACGAAAATAGTGATGATGTAATTTTTTTGCTTGAATGAATCTTATGAATGTTGTATATCTACTAAAAAAACAGTGTTTAGAAACGGAATTAGCGATGAACAATATTCCGTCACTATATAATGACGGATTTGTGACGGAGTAATTATTTTATTGCAAAATTAACAAAAAAAATTATTTATTATATAGCAATGGGTTGCAACAGAATAATTAATCTGTCTCTAAATATTAGCAGGAAAAATTGGCGCATAATTTTCGTTACGGATTTAGTAACAAAATAGTGGTGACAAATTAATTAATATTGGGCGACGAATTTGTGGCAGAAAAAAGGTTGCTAAACTATTAAATATATTTTTATAAAAAGTATATTATATAGTGACGAAAATATCCGTCAATATAATTTTTTCAAAATATATGTATTTATTCAAAAGCAACGGATGTAGGAACTCGTCACTAATTACATTGCAATTCACTCCAATTTGAGATTTCAACTCAACTCCTATCTTTTAATCCTGACCGTTGATCTCATCTTTTCAATCTTAGCCTCTCATTTCAAAATAATCCTATGGTCAAGATATAATACCCTAACTTTTCTATTTTAATTTACCAAAAGACCCAAACCTAATTTCTCATTCTTTTTCTTTTTAGATTCGCCGCACGCCACCATCTTCTCTTTCTCTTCGTCTCTTCTTGTCCGCCATTTTCGATGAGAACAAAAGGAGACATCATTCTCCTCTCCTCTCCTCTCCGCCTCTCCACTGCCTCTCTTCCGTCGCCCTTCTCCATTCCCTCTCTGTCAACACCAGCAACTGCTCTTCCTCTCCTTTGTAGCGCTGCCGCTCCGCTGAACAGCAGATCCGAGTGGCAAGCCACCAAGAATCAACAACTCCAAACAGCAGTATTCTATGACAACAACCAGCAACAGACAATGAACCACCAGAAACAAAAACAAACAATAGCGACACCAAACGCTGTTCCGACCAGTATGTCCTCCTATAGCTATTTGCTATGTATTAAATTCTTTGATTTATTTAGAACAAACTCTTAGATTTGAAGTGTGATTGTTGTTGCTTATACTGTGAATGTTTTCAATTCAAATTTTAGCTTGCTATTGTCTTTGTCGTTTTCTCCTTTTCAACTATTATATTTCAGCTACGGTGATATCTTACAAATTGATTTTTATGTTTTTGATGTTTTAAGATTATTGAAAAAAGTTCATTTTTCAGCGACTCGTACTGGCTATCGGCCTAATTATTTTTAATATGGATGTTCTTCCTTTGATGTTAGTAATGTATAATAAATTTTTCATCTCTATGCATTTTATTTTTCATGTGTTTAGACACATGTTACTAAAGTAACTATTGCTTCTTTGTCTCCTATATTATGAGATTTTGAGATCTCTTGAAAGGTTTATTTTTTTACTTCCATCTGGTCATCTCAATGGCTCAATCCATGATGATGGGGGCTTCATGTTTCGACCTTTACCTTATAATAGCCTCATAAATAGAGTTGCATGACAATAACATTCTTATTTCCTATAACTTCTTCTAAACAAGAATTTCATATAGGTTAAGAATTGATTCTCATGGTTGCCAATAGTTTAAGAAATACCAATTTATGAAATTGTTGTGGGGAACTGCATTAGGTGAATTGGTATAAGCTCAAAACAGAACAATCGAATGAATATCATATTAGATTATTTTTCACTTGCTTTTAGTTTACACTTGTTGCAATGAATTTACACGTGAATAACTGTGGACTATGAGCTCTCTTGTCATTTTGTGAGAAATAATAGAAAAGTAATTAATATTAGTGACATTACATTTCAGTCATCTTATTTGTTCTAATTTATTTCTAGCATTTTATATCCTTGCATTAATGTATCACTCATTTATTATCACACATGTCATGTCATATCATATATTTTATATGTGGTTAAGATTGTGTAGGCAGCTAGAATCACATCTATTAACGTCCGTGTAAAGGATTATGTTTGTGTTGTTACTCAGAAGAAAGCCCCTGTAAACGTATATATTTGGTGCAAATTGTAAATCATGTGTTGTTGTTCTGTTTGAGAGGGTTATAGGTCAGTAAAGAAAAGTGAGAGGTTTAGGGAATTTGCGATTAGTGATAAGGTTATAAGTATTCCAATGAAATTATCTTGAATTAAGTAGAATAGCTAGAGGACTCATAAAATGATAGAAGCTTATATGTTTGATTTTATTCTTGTTGTTACTCAGAGAGAAGTCCCTGTAAAATTAATTTTTTGCACAACTTATAAATCATCAGTGGTTTTATTCAGTTAAGTAACTTGAACCTCGGTGTAAGGAAAAGTGAGAAATTCAGGGAACCTTTAATTTTCTAGAGCTCGTGATTTCAAATCAAAAGACTTGTTTCAGTGAATTGGGTTTGACTAAAGAAGAAAAGACGGGGAGAATTCATGAAACTAGCCCAATCTAATATGAAGTTGAAGCTTAGTTGATCAATAATATAGTTATATTTTTCACCCGATATAGGATACTCATATATCAAAAGTTGGGGGAAATGTGAGAAAATACCACCATTGCTCTGAATATATTGATTAGATAGTGTTGTAGTTTTATTCTGGTATATCCTTTTTATTTTGACTTAATGTTCCTAAAAGTAGACCCGCAATTTTGGAAATTTTGAGTTGTATGGAGTTTGAAGTTGTGTATTTTGGCTGAGCAGGCAAGCTATTGGATAAGACCAGTGTATCTCATTTGTTCTCAATTACCAAGTATCTTTGGACTATTGGCTATTGCATTATAGGTTTGCACTCTTTTATGGATGGGAGAAAACTACCAAGCTCTCATCAAGCATACTATCAAGCTGCCGGGATATAAAAGAAGAGAAGAGTATACGGATTTGAAGCAAAAACATATTACATGAAGCAAATGTTCCTCTTAAGAATAGTTGATATATTTCTTTACATATTTTGCACCGGAAGTATATGATTTTGACTTTCTATCTAAAGATTTTGAAATCTATTAATATTATTTTATATGAATGTTTGTTATTGTAGAGGTACTTAGTAATTGTTATTTAATTTATTTCAGCAGTGTATATTTAAAAAAAATAAATGAAATGATTTTACAAGAAAAATTTTAGCAACAAATTTAATGACGATTTGATTGTTACTATAAAAAATGTTGGCGATGGATTAGCAACGAAACATTTAAGTGGAAAATGTGGAGGCTCAAATAACAGAATATTATGTGACGAATTAGTGACAAAAATTTCACCACGGATTTATTTTAGATGACGAAATTAATTATGAAATTAGCGACGAGTTATATAAGTACAGCGACGGACCAGTCCGTCACTAACAAGTTGTGACGGAAATCGTTCGTCTCTATCACGTCTCTAAATTTCTGATGTAACTCATATTTTCGTAGCTAAGAGAAATAGCAACAACCAACAATCCGTCGCTAATCCATTGCTAATCCGGTTTAGTGACGGAATAACATAGATTAGCGACGGATTTCGTCAGTCGCTAAATGTTGATTTTTTTTGTAGTATATCTTCGCTATTATGTAAGAATTCACCGAAGTATGCGTAGTTTATGGATGAATTTATGTATGTATTGATGTCGTATTCATCAAATATCAATGTTCGGTACTCTTTTTAAGAGACCAATATTGTCCAATTTTTGGTTGAAGGGACAACCCGTCCCAACTCGTGGCCCGCTTAGAGTTGGGTTGGGCTACTAATTTACCGGCCCATTAATTAAAAGGGTCAACCCATCCTGGCCCATTAGAGTTGGACTAGGTTCGATTGGCTAGACCATTTTGACTTAAGCTTTAAAAATGAAATTGTCATACAATTAAGATAGTTTACCTTAAACACCACCGTGAAAGCAACTAGCTCTGGCCTTGAGACGATACTGGACACATACTTTTGTATCATGAATCTAGAATCCGACCAACGAGTTTTATCTTTCTCAAACAAGTTGGAGAGATCAAAACTAGGAGAAATAGAAACAGTATCGAAAAAATCAAACACATAGGCTTCATTGGTGATGAGCTTTGTTCTGTGTCTCGGAACACTATACACTCAGAATTAAGGCACCATGCAAGCATAAAAAGTGTACATTTGGTGGGATTTGGAATGTTTGAAGTGGACAAGGATTCAAGAATCTCTATGCTTCTTTTTTCTTCTATGAGTATGCAGCTATGGTACCAACATTTGTTAATTTCTTTTTCAAAAAATATGATAGTATTTTTGTTAATTGTGCATTTTTACAGGTGGTATAATTGACTCCAGATTACCCACTGGAAGAGCTAAACCAATACAATACCTAAATGCTGCAAAGCTTGCTTGCAACACCAAAGTTAAAGACATAAAATCAATATGTCCTAATATTGATGAGAGAAGCATACCTTCTATATGCATGGACTTTGTATATGAGTACACTTTGCTTGTTGATGATTTGGTAAGTTAATTCTTAATTAATTTTAAATTGACTATAATTGATGTTTTGTTATGATCTTGTGTGTCCCACATTGAATGAATGGGGAGCTAGGATATGTGGTAGCTAGGGATTTGAGGTGTGATTTAGCCTAAAATTGTTACATGGTAACATAGTTCATCCCACGGGGCCAACACAAAGTGATGGTTTGGACTTGAAAAGGGTGTCAGTCGTGATCAACTGGGCTCAGTCCTGACCTATGAGGTAGTTGATATTCAACTAGGGGTGATTGTTACACTACAACAAAAACAATCTTTAGTGGCAATAAATGTATATATTAATAAAGAGTGATAAAACATTGATCGGCATTAGTTAAATGCTATTGGATCCAAGGTCGCTATACGCTTTAGGGACATTTACAAAGAACACTAAATACCACTAAAAATCTATTTTTAGTAACAATTAAGCTATTACTGTTAATTATTTGCCGCTAAAAATCATTTTTTATATAGTATTGTGATCTTGTGTGTTCCATGTAGTTGAATGAGCTTGCGTGAAACTTCAATATATTTAGATTGTTCTACCTCAAATAGCTAACTTTTGAGGCGTGAGACTTAGGTCGTGATTTTAAAGTTTCTTTCTTTTGCAGAAAATTGGCAGGCCTGCATCCTAAACAAGATATCACAGTGGTGCATGAAGTTAAATACAAGAATTATATTGTTGGAGTTGCTTGGTCCTTGGGTTGTGCCTAGGGTGTACATGACTGAGTTGGTTTGGATTTTTCAAATATCAAACCAAACCAGTTGTGTCTGATTTTTGAATTTATAACAAAATCAAACAAATAAAATTCGGGTTTTTTGGATTTTTTTGGATTTTTGAGTTTTTTCGATAAAGTATTCACACAAACATATAATTTACTTGTACTTCAAATATTTTTTTAGTCCTACTAAAATGCAACTATCTAAGTTATTTCTCAAGAAGATAACAAAAAATATTATATGATTAATAACACTAAAATATCCAACAAAGATAATAATAAAATCACGTAAAACAAATTGTTGTCAAATAAAAAAAGTGGTCATTCTTTTAAAAATAAACTAAAAAGAAATTATAAACATTTTTTTAAACGAAGAAGTATATGAAATATTTTTTCTAGAGAGTAAATCTTATACCAAAAAATAAATCTTAATTGAACTTTAATATAAATTTAAACATTGCATAAAATTTTTACAAAATGGCTCATAAATCATCCGTTAATACACATTTTCTTTGTCTCAATTAATTGGTTAAATTATTTGTGTTTTCATTTTATATCCTTTTAAAGTTAAAAAAACAAAGAGTATAATATACCTCAATCATGGAGTGAGGTTATAATTGTTCAAAGCCTTCCTCATTACGGAATTCCAGTAACAGTAACTTTTAAAATTAGATTTATTTTGAAGTTTAAAACATGTGTCCATTTTAGTTAAGTTAAAATAGGGATAAAAACAAAAAGTGTGAAAAGAAGAAAATGAAAAAGTATTGTGTATGGGTGACGTGGATGTTTGGACAACGTGGCATAGACCCAAAATGTCAGTTAGTGCATCGGAATTCACAGCCACGTAATCACGTTATCCTCGCAGTATCACAAGGATAAAACAAACCTCAATTTACGGACAAGTCCCTCGATTTAGCTGACTCATCCTTTAGTAGCTTCCGAAAAATAGTGTTAAATAAAATTCGTCGCTAATTATACATAAATTATTATTTGTCTGGTCTATTAAAAGTAGCACTTATGCATAAATATATTTATTTATAAGGATATTCTATATAATTATAGTTAAAAAATGCAAAAATAAAAATATTTTAAGTAATAATAAGATCTAGGCCAAAATCATCCATAGCCACTTGAAGTTGTCCTCATATTTCACTTAAACACCTCAACTAAGCAATGTACCTATTGAACACTTAAACCTTAAAAAATTTATACCTATTTGACACAAACTGACAATCAATTGAAAAATAAAAACGCGTGTATCTCAAACGCGAATTCATATTAATTTTACCAATAATATGATGACACGTGGCATTACATTTAATTTTTTTAAAACCTTTATATAATTAATTCATTAAGTATTTTAAAAAATTAAAAAAAATAATTTTTAATTAAAGTCTCCACCCTCCCCACTTTCTTCCTCCTTCTTTAGAAACCCATTTCTAATTTTCCATGGAGTTGGTGTCGCTCCATCTCTTTCTTCTCTTCCATGGAGCTACAATGACACACCATTGTTGTCTATTCAAGCTATATGCATTCTCTTTCATTTCAATAGCATTAAAATTTTCACACATTGTCTTCATCTTTTATACATTAGAAATTATTTATTAGAATTGAAAAAAAATTAACAGACTTTTGCTCAAAAAAATCTATTCATATTTTTTTTATCATTGTAAATGAAACTTCTTCGAGATATTTGAGACGAAAATCGATATAAGAAAAAAGAAGAAAGCAGGAAAGAACAATGAGGGTGAGAGAAAGAGAGGTGGAGGGAGTGTAGTGTGTTGTGTAAAAAAAAAAAGAGATAAAAATGGTGAAAGAATAATATGATAGAAAGAGGGAAGAAGACAGCTATCCTTCTTCTTTTTTGTTAATTAATTTTAAAATTAACTTAGGGGATAAATTAAGAAAAAAAATATTATTTTTAATAAATTAACGCGCTCAAAGAAAGTGAATTACACGTTTTTTGTCATGTCAGCATTTTGTGTCTAATAGGAATGACTTTTGAACAAATAAAGTGTTCAATTGGCACAAGGATTAGTTAAGGTGTCTAAATGAATTATGCGGACAACTTTGAGTGGCTGCAGATGACTTAAGCCTAAGATCTATAATCATGATAATGTATACCTCAGCTAAAACCTCTAGCATTAACAGGTAAATTTTCATGTATTAATTTACATTGCAATACATAATAGATCAAAAAATATATCAAATAAAATATCGCTAATACACAAAACTTTTGAATGTATTAATTTTGTGTATTATTAAGATTTGCTTTCCTACACTATTTACTATATCTTCTATTTATATTTAGTATAACTACTACATGTAAAATTATGTACTAACAATGCAAGAGTTTAAAATGCATGTATTAACATTATTCAACACACGATTATCTTCTTGAAAATCATTTCCACATTCATTTTATCATATATGTGAAGGTAATTTGTAAAAAGAATAAAAATTAGGGCAACTTTCACATATAGCAAACAAAAAATTCATATTTGTATGCTATAGCAAACTTTGCATAGTTGCGCTCCATAGCAAACATAAAAACTGTATAATCCGCTGGCCTATTTCGCTGCAATTGTATAATTCGCTATCCTATTTCACTGCAATTGTATAATGCACAATTGTATAATTCACTACCTATTTCGCTGTAAAATTAAGTGTATAGCAAGAAGATATATGTTTTTCTCTCGCTTTATACAAAAACAGAAACACAATATATACACTTCTATTGTATAAAGCTAGAGAAAATTGTATTTCACTGCAATTGTATAATTCTCAATTGTATAATTCGTTGACCTTTTTCTCTGCGATATTTGAAGTAAAATAATTGTAA